AAGTGTTAAAGATTCATTGGAGTGCATCCTCTGCTAGGAAGCAGCACTACACCAGTCTCCAGTAAATAACTCAGTTAGGAACTACTCAGTGTGAGACCACTGGCTGTAGAATGGCAGCAGTTTGACTGCCATGATGTTACAATGGCCTCAGAAACCATAAATATACAATGGCACAGAAAAATAAACAAAACAAAGAAAACTTTCTTTTTGAAATCATCATATAATTCAAGCTTCACCTCAAGTTCATTTTACTTTGTTCTCTTGACATGAATGCTGCCATTTCAGTTGCTGTTCTTCAGTGCCTGTAGTAGGTACACAGACTTCCTTTACACACAAGACCTACCTGAGCCTTAGGGATCACTTTCCCTGCCACACAGGTGCAAGTAATGGATACTATAGCAGAGCAAGGCTTTGAGCCTTGCTTGCAGGAGGAGCCTGTGAGACATCTCTCAGTGTGAATCAGTGTGCTCTAGGGACAAGACTAACCCACCTCACATGCAAAATGACTGACTGAGCTGCAGGTGTGCCCCATACTTTCAGCACTGACACGTCTGCACCAAACAGTTTGCCAGCAGAAAGCAGAGAGCAATGAGAAGATGCCCGGTCTATTTCAGAATCACAGCATCTCACCAGTACACAGCACATCATCCCATCACACAGAAAGTTACCAGGTGTAGAAAACTGTGAACCAAGGTGCATAACTATGCAGGGCCTGCGTTCTGCCACAAACAAAGTGCATTTCACCTATTTGTAAACTGAAACCTATTTAATGCAATTTCTGTGTTCAATGCAATCTCACAACATTTTAAAACCCATGAAACATTATGTTTTTGTTGCATGGCTAGGTAATTGAAAAACATGTAGGCATATAAAGTGAGGTAAAAAGGACTTCAACTGTCTAAAGCTGCTGCTTGTACTCATGAGTAGCTACTGCTCCCTCTTAAATTCCTTATTATAAATGTTTAATAACCAAAAAAAGTCGTTGGCAATGAACAAAGATTTATTGAATCATTTCTGAGGAGTGAAGCATTAACAGCGTTTTCCTACCAGGTTAACTTGCTCATATTCAAACAATCATCAATAATGTAAACAGCACAGTTGTAACATGCCCCATTGTGTATTGGCATCACCTGTCACTACAAGAGCTGTCTGGTAGTTCAGCAGCAACAAATTGTTAAGGTACCAATATTGATAAGCAACAGACTGGGGCTGCACTGATATAGTTAGATTGGTTTACAAGGCTTCTATTTCTGCAAGCCTTGGAAGCTCAGGTTGTCTAATGAATTTTTAACGTGTCAATTAATATGTTTATAGAAAGCCATGTCAGCTTTAGCTAATATATAAGAAGAATCACAGTTGCACGCAAAATGTACAGTTAAAGTAGTGTTAAAGCTCTAAGCTTCATGTTTGAGAAACTGAAAAGAATTATTGCATGTGATCTTGAGGACAGCAATCACTTAGAAAGGAAAAAAAATGTGTAAGGTAATGGGCATGATTAATCACTCTGGGAAATACTAGCATAATTTCATGGAACGTGATATATTGCAGGGCATCAGAAAAAAAAGGCTTTATTTGTGGCAAACAGAGTTAGACCCTCACTTCCTAGCACCAAAAGATACCTTATACCAGAACGAATTACCAAGTATTTTGTTATTTTTACCAACACACTACCAATAACATAAATTAAGCAATGCTTTCTTAATAATACTCAGTGCCCTCACTGAATCTGAATGTAACTGTGTTAGAACACTAGCTACTCTTTGGCAGCACTTTCTCCAACAATATACAATGATGTCAAACACTGCACAGTGCAGAGACAATTTCTGCCATAATTACTCTGCTTGTTTTGTAAATTACATAAAGTCAGAAAACATGCTAATTTTGTGAAAAAAACCATTTTTTTAAAATCCTTAGGACACAACTTTTCAAAAAGTTTTAGATGTTTTCTTTTTAAAACATTGGCCTCTGTTAAATAATGAAAATTATAAACTTCCTATTGTAAGATCATGCACGCTCTGTGAAATTGCAGTAAAAAGACAAATTTTATATTTGAAAAGAACCTGTACCTTTTTCACGTGTAGGCAAAATAACAATAGGAAATAGCCCTTCAATCAACATTTGATCTGCATCTGCAGTTAGGCAAGCAGAGTATGTGGTGAAAATCAAGCAACCTATGCAGCCAGAGGGATGTTACAGTCACATAAGAGAGTGAAGTTCCTGTAATTCTTTCAACTCTGTACATTCATCAGCCTGAGAATAAAATATTCAAGTGCATTATATGGATCTGGGGAAATTCCTCTTTTGTTAACTGGGGTATTATGGCATTTAACATCTGCCTCTTCCTTCACTGCATCAGAGGTAATTGAGGATCACATAAGATACAATACTCACAATTGTGTCTTGATGGGTGACATATATTAAGCACTACATTTGCAATGCAAAAGTTACAGAACCAAAATATTTATCTGCTGCAAGTTGTAATTCAAGGAATTCCAAAGGGCTTAAGGCATATTACAAAGAGCAGAATTTCAGAAAGCAAGCTATTCAGACTGCAAAGTCATCTTTTCTTCCCATTAACTACAGATGACCTGAGCTTTGCAGGGTATTTCAGTACACTAGAGAGCACCTTGCACTCCAGTACTGTACTCTGTTACATCCCAACACAGCCTGATGAACACTTTGAGATTTGAGACTGCCACAACTGTACCATATGCTCATTTTGAAAATAACAGGAATGCCCCATCTCATAAATTCTCAGGCTCGGAGAGCAAACATTCTCAAACCACAATCCCTTGTGATAACCTGAAGAGAAAAAACCGCAAGAGCTGTAAAACATCTGTTATGTTTTATGCAGTAATCCTCATTGCTGTTCAAAATCTTAGGACTTCCAGAGCTAATTAACTAACAAGCCTACACTCCCCCAAAAGATTATCTTCCACAAGGCCTTTTGCTGCTTTTATACATACTTATCCCTGAGCAACTCGAGGAGGAAGACAGCCTCATGCAGAGGGAGCACAGGAGGGAAGGACAACTCCTGTTAGTACATGAAGAGGCAAGTCAGCACAGTGTCTTGACACCTGCTGGTTTTTGTTAATATTTTTATGTTTAACCAAGCATTTGTATATGTGCTATATAATTCACTGGGGGAAAAAAATGTAAGACCTTGGTAACTGAGTGAAAATGTCCTGTAAACAGGATAGTTGCCTTTCTAAACAAAACAAATTGAAAGCCAAACAACTGGAAAAAAAAAAAAAAAAAAAAAAAAACAAAAAAAACCCAAAACAAATAAGTTATTAATGTGACCAGTGTCATTACTACTGGTTTATCTTCCACCTTCAGATTTCACACAAGCATATCAATTCCCATCCACTGGAAAAGGTCTGAGGTACAAAAAAACCCATTTGGCAAGACCAAACACCAGAAAAAAGTTGGCAACTATAGAGGAATACCCTAGAAAAAGAGCACAGGAACAACACTGTCCCTCCCTTTAAGCAGTCTGCTAACCCGGTGAACTGAAAAGAGTAGCAAGATTCCTTCTTTGGAAAAGGAGAAGCAGCATAACCCAACCACAGCAGTCTAGTGTCAGCTCTGGACTACACAAAGAGACACCTTTTCCTTGTTTTCAGAACTGCACTAACCGGGCAGAGGGTGGCTGCAGCCACTGGAGAGCACAATGCTGCCACGAGACGCAGAAGCTTCGAAGAAGCTGCTAAATCCAGGAGCCTGGGCATCCCACCAGGATCCTGCCACTGCCTCTCGTTCTGGACCTGCAGCAGCAGTGCTTCCTCCACACCTGCTGCAATCACACAGGTGCATCCCCGGTGACTTCAGGGTTTTACACTGGGTTTCATGTTACATTTCGTTCCGATAAGAAAACACACATGTTCTTGACAGCAAGAGGACTTCTTTTGTATCTCATTTTTGTACTTTGTCCAAGGCAGCAATAAAACAGCAGCAGAGAGTATGGAAATAAAATTATCATCTTTCTCCTCCCATAACTAATAGTTAGCTGAAGTTAAATTGGGATTTGAAGATTTATTGAAACTTCTGAGGGCTCATAGTGCCACACTTTTCTAACTTTTCCATTTATAGATTTCCCACTCAAGTTTAACAATACATATCTAATGCCAAGCTCCCAACCTTTGAAACCCATGAAAAGAGTTCCCAAGTTTGATCAAGAGTCAAAAACAAGAGAAAACAAACCCAAGCCGTCACACGTGCATGAATATTCTGACAATTCCTCTGAAACAAGGGCGTTTCTCGCCTGTAGCTGCAGAAAATACAATCTTGTACCTACCGCTTCTCTGCGTATTTTGAAACGGTGTCAACAGGACATAAACTTTAACATTTTAAGCATACCATCACAGTCCACGGGCTTGCGATGCAAAGCACTTTCACTCACCACGCGTAATTAGCTCATCAAGGATGACTCCTTCATGTGGGTTACTTCCTCCTTTCCCGAAGAAATTTAACTTTGCCGAAGTCGTCGGGATTTAAACAACAAGAAAGCCGAGCAGTGCTCATGCAACTACTTCTTTTTAAGAAGTCACTCCGTGTGCCAGGAAAGCAGCGCTCGGTCCAGCCTCGGAGCCCGGGAGCAGGAGCCCCGCACCTTTCCCACGTAACAAAAATCGTTACGCAAATCCCAGGCGCTGCCGAAGCCCCTGACCTATTTAGAGACGCGCTTTATCCTCCCCGCAAACCAGCGATGCTGCGGAGACGCCGCTAAGCCGCCGGCAGCGCGCACCGCGCCCGGGCCGGAGCACAGCCCGGAGCACAGCCCGGGGACCCCGCTACCTGCGGCTCCGGCCGCCAAACTTTGCCCGGCGGCGGCCGCGGAGCGGGCGGGCTGCTCCGGGGCTCCGGCTGCGCATCCCCGGCTCGCCCCGCGCCGCGACACGGAGCAAGGTCCGCGACACGGAGCAAGGTCCGCGACACGGAGCAAGGTCCGCGACACGGAGCAAGGTCCGCGCCGGGCCCCCCGCGCCGCCGCCGCTCACCTCAGCAGCCGCCCGCAGGGAAGGAGGCAGCGCGGCACCGGCCGGCGAGTGGGCGGGCGCCGCAGCCCCGCTCCTGCCGGACCGCGGCGAGCTCGGCGCAACTCCGCCGGAGCCCCACGGCTCTCCCGAGGCGTCCGTCCCTCTGTGCGTCCGTCTGTCCGCCCGGCCGGCCGTGCCCGCTCCCCGCCCCGCCCGCGGGCTCAGGTGGGGCGGGGGCCGGGGTCGGCACGCGGGCGGAGCCTGCGCGCTCGCGCCGGGGGCGGGGCGGCCCCGCACCTGTGGAGGCGGCGGCCGGGCCCGGGATCGGAGCGCCGGCCGGGCCCGGGAGGGAGAGCGGCGCGCCGGCCGGGCCCGGGCTCGGGAGCGGAGCGGAGCGGAGCGGCGGAGCCTCCGGCTGAGGCGAGCGGGGCTGGAGGGGCTCTCCGCCAGCCCAGCGCCGGCCGGGCGCGGCCGCCCCAGTGTGCCCGGAGCCGCTGGGGCTCTGCGTGCCACAGGCAGCGCAGCCTCGTCCCGGGGGCGACAGCCGTGAGAAACAATCCCCGAACACCCGGCTGGAACAGCTCCCGCTTTCCTTACTCCTTCAGCTTTGGTCGTCAGGGGTTGCTCTTCGTTCCCCGAATTCACACAAACCTGTAGCCAGCCTCCCAGCGCTCCTGTCAGAGCTTTAAATAGTAGCCGCTGCTCCTCAGCTCTGTACTGTAAAACGCAAACCCGTGTCCTAAATGTAAACATTACACTAGAAAACATCAGGTTTTGTAAGTACTTAAGAGGAAAATAATAGTGCTAATGGTAGAAACATCAAAATCAATGCAAACTTAAGTGTAAGAGACTTACCAGCATTTCTGTAATTTGAGTTAGCTTTTATAGTTTGAACACTGCTCCTGGAGAATGTGATGCAAACAAAGGGAATCCTGCAGTATTTAATTTGTTATCCTTCTGCAGGAAGGAAAACAAGAGCATTTAAGACAGGAGAAAAACTTCTTGCTGAACTTTAATTTCAGCTTTTGGAGAAGAGCAGTGATATTTAATACTATTAAGAATTGCATCATACCTTGTTTACAGTTTTAAGTTCAATAAGTTCTTTTAGCACTCAAGACAGGAAATTATGAGAGTTTGAATTAATCATCCCATTAAAACATGAAAATAGCCCTTCTTCTGGTGTTTTACCTACCACGAACTTCTTGCTCAGAAGAAATCTGAACTTTAAAGCATGCCTAAGTGTTTTTGAAAGATTTGCTGGTCTCCTACAGAGAGAAAGAGTAGCTGTAAATAGGACACTTTTTTTCCCCCACCAGAAGTCCTGAGTTTGTCTGAATCTGTAGCAGCAGAATAGATGGCACAGTAGGAAAAATCCATTACTGAAACTGGGAATGTTGGACCAGTGGTATAGGAAATTTGAACATCTGCTTCAGCAGCAAACAACAAGAACAGCAACAACAAAAATACCCAGAGAGGGCTTGGGATCAGTCAGATGACAAATGGATCAAATTGATTATCTTGGAAAGGCATGTACATGTATGACTGCACATTAGTAAAATCCAAAATTTTCGTATTTTATTATCTTTTGTCTTTTAGCCCTTTTCAAGACAAACTTGCAGTGAACTAGAACAACCGTCTCCAAAACACATTCAGAAATCTCAAAATAATTCTGACTGGACAAAAACTCAGCAACTTTCTCCTCATATCCAACTTTCAAGATGTATTCTAAAGAACTAAGAATATTGCATCCAGGCAGTACCATTTTATTTATGTAAGCAGCTGTTGTAGTTGCCACAGAGATGTTATTCAATCTTAAATAGAAAGGTGACCATTCACTGTATTTGCTGTTAATATGAAAACGTATAACATTCTTCAGAACAAGTACATTTCTGTTCAGTGGCTCATGATTAAAAAAAAAAAAAAAGATATTTCAGTGAGTTCTAACCATCAGCTTCCTATAGAGAGATGTAATGGGGAGTGATAATCGTATATGGTTTCAACCACTTGATTGAAAAAGTATCTATTGGGCTTGTCTTTGAAAGGCCAGTTCTCATCAGAAATAGCAAAATTTAACCCACAATTGTACACATATTTATGATGCATTTCCCAGCTATCTTCCACTGTGCAACTCACCAATCAGGACTCCAGGTCCCTATCAAATCCTGTGGTCTACAAGATTGTGTAAGGGTGAAGGGTGAAAAATTTTAAATGCCCTGTGATCTGTATTATCAACATGCACATTTCATCTCTATAAATGCTGAAAGTTATGAAATTATAGAATAATTGTAGAACATCAAAACAACTTCAAAAGTGATGTGAGCAACAGGAAGACCGTTTAGCCTGGGAGATTTTATAAGGAGATAACAGGTCTGTAAATTCGGAGGAACCTCTTGGAAAGGAGAGGCTGCTATTGGATGCATTTCTGCTGGAAATCTGCATAAAAACATATAAAACCAGGCAGAGGTGAGATCTTATCCTAAGTAAGAATATGGAGAGTATGAGGACATGCTGAGTATGAATCAGAATTGCATTTTATCACTTCAGACCTTTAAATTTGGGTCTACCAAAACAAACTTGGATGACTTTTCTAAAACATCTGTCACTGAACCTATGTTTAATGTGACACAAGTTTGTAGATGCATGCAGAATGATACATGCAAACAAAACTCTTAGGGATGCCTGCAGCCCAAAATCATTTCAGGATGTCCTGAGAGCTAGGAAATATTTTCTACAAAAGGCAGCAGTAATATTACATCTGGGTGACATTAAATATCATTTTATGAGGAGAGGTCACCACTGGGAAGCCTCAAGCAAGCCTCACGTTCATGACTCACCCTGTAAGAGACAGAGTGCCAGAAATCTTCTCTGTCCCCAGCAAACAAGGAAGCTGCTGTGTTCTCCACACGAAGCTATTTTTTTATATATATCTGAAAGGCCTACTACTTCTTTTGAGGAAGTCTTCCTTTTTGTTTGACTGTTGTACCTTTTTTGAGAATTAAGGCTCAGTAATGTTTTACAATCATCCATTTTAAAAACAAGCTGCCTCAAAGGACCACGGGGCTTGAGGTATGACTAAAGACTTCTTGTTTGTTTGTTTATTGTCTATGCAAAATATGAAAATAGTATCCTAATGCTCCAAATGTTGATTTGCCTTTTTGGTGATCCCATATGGCAAATAATGAAAGGAATAACAACACCAAATACTTTCAAGGTGTGTTACACAAGTATCTCTCTGTGGAAATAAACCAAGCATTTCCAGGACTTCTTCTCAACTGGCTTCTCCAGTGGTAACCTATTAAATGTGAGCTTTGCTGAGAAGTGTTTCAGTAAAAGACACTTCAGAAATTGGGGGACCAGATGTAGACACAGAAACTACAGGTACAGTAATTTCAGTATTTCCCCTCCATTAAGTACCAATGCTTTTATAATGTGAGGTGTTTCTAAGTGATTACCTCAACACATCTTTCCCAGAGTAGTTGCCCCAGATTCTCTAAAGTCAGATTGGCTTTAAGCGAATATGGGCAGCCTTCTGTGTTTGCTTTGCACTCTATCCATTCTAAGACAGTAATAGCTTTGTCACCATGTACATGAGAAGAAGGAACTTGAGAGGTGTTTGGTTTTGTGTTGTTTTTTTTTCTTTTTTTTTTTTTTTCCTGAAGAGACCTAGTAATTTCCATAGTCTTCAAAATTAAGGCCTGATAAGCTGAATTTTAATAAAACACAGTTAAAAATCTCACTTTTTTTTTGCATGGAAAAAATATGGTGAAGAAATGATGACTGAATTAAGATCTTCTGTGCCTGAATCTATGTCCCAGTCCCTTACCAAATGAAGATTTTGGTATTTTCTCATAACCTTTCTTCAAAAGACTTTGTTTGAGTTTTTCCCACTGGTATGCAGTTCCTTGTTTGTCACCTGTTCATTGGGGATTTTGGTTTGGTTTTTTACAATAAAGAGTTGTTTCTGGATCAAGTATTTTTAAAGACTTTAGAAACTTTATAGATTCCCTTACTCAATTTAAAATTCACATCTGTATGCACGTCTTGAGTTTTGGTTCCTCTAAGGAAATCTGACATTTTATAACCAGATAACTTATATGCCTGTACATTTTCCAGCTTTCCTGCTACTGCCTCTGGGGAAACAATCCTAGATTTAGCAGATCTCCATCTGCCTCCCCTGTATAAACAGACAAAGCAACTACTTAGCCAACCTGCTACTTGCTAACCACTGTATTTTTTTAAAGAGGACAGTGATTTGGGTTTTTGTTCTTTTTTTACCTTGCATCTATATTTGATGGAGTTACTTGAGATGCTTTTTGAAATTTGGTATTAACTTCTATTGCTCTTTATTTTTGTCCACATATTTCCAGTTTCCTGAGGTTTTTAAAGTGTGTTGAAGCATCTCACTTGACTTCTTAATAGCTCAAATTTATCCCTTTTTTAAACTTGTGTTTGCTAGCTATATTTAGAATGCTCAATATCAGATGGGAAGGGTGCCTACAAATTATCTGCATTATTCCAAATTATTTGATAAGTTAGTTCATAAAGTATACACATATAAATATCTGCCAACCATTTGATCTTACATAATGTGAGCTATTTGTACTGTGTGACAGATCAGTTAATTCCGGTGATAGTATTTCTATTTCTTGATTGCGCGTTGAGAAAAATTACTTGGATTTAGATTGTAAGCTGTTTGGCACAAGGAATTATCTTTATTATCTACGTCATGCTCAGAGAACCACATCTCTAAGTACGTGCACCATCATGATAACCAGCAAGAAGATGAACCAGAAACACACATGAATGCTTCTTCACAAATGTATTGTCATTTATATGCTCACAGTTAGTTTCAAAGATATTTGTGAACACATGTTTGTTTCGTACTAAGAGAAAACAATATTGAAAGTTGCAGTCAGCAATAAATATTAAGGTTTTATGAAATTATGTTTGTCTGTACTTCATTTCTTTCCCAGCTATGTTAAATTTTTTTTTTTTTTTTTTGCAGGATATTCTTGCTTTGAGAAACTGAAGCAGAAAAAAAAAAAAGTGATCTAAAGAAAAACATATGACATCTTTCCAAGCACTAGAAAACCTGCTAAACCCTTCCTTTCAGTCAC